TGAAATGATATCCCAATCTGTTGCATCGTTAAATACTTCTAACAAGAATTGGATTGCTCCATCTTTGAGAAGGGATCATCACATCACGTTACCACTGACCTTTCAAAGCTAGTACTTTAGTCTGACTACACTAGCTTTTCAGTGGTGATTGTTCTAGTTAGAAAATTATACATGTGTATGACAAACTAAGGTCTATACATTATCACAAAAATCTTCTCTATCATTTTATCCTTAGATTTTTCTTGTGAATAATATACACTGAACCTCATTTGTTTGTTTCTCGCAAAATTTTAGTGATATTGAAAATTAATATAAGGCATTGATACAGTTATCAGCTTTTGGTCACAAGGACTAGGAATGGTAGTTCATTTGTAAACATCAGCCATCACAAGCTTGGCATAATTAATATCAATTGAGCCCTCAAAAGGGAAAAAAGAAAACGAAGTCTTCTCATAACTTGAATACCACAGCCATGGTCAAGACTCAATTAGGTCGTTTTGTCAATTTTGTGTGAGAACTTTTATCATGTTAATTACATTAAATTAAAACAATATATACAAAAAAAAAATCAAAAATATGTTATTTTCTCACGGTCAGTTGCATTTGCAAAGAACCAAAAACTGAGATCTTCTCTCAATTTTCCAGCCACAAACTTTCTGTCAAGTAAAATTTAGGATTTGAAAGGTGAACATATTTTTCCACTTGATTGATTAAAGACTTCATGGAAGACTAGCTAGTCTTCTATTCATCACTGATAATTGAGGCCAAATTGAAAAATTAATGATAGCATGGATCTAAGTCTATCTTACTGAAAGACTTCTGCTTATAACATTTTCTTTCTTTGACATATAAAATAGATCTTTGGTCTTGTTGAAAAGATGTTTTTCAAATCAATATGAATTCGGGATTAACTTTTGAAAAAAAGACAGCTTTGAAGGATAAAATGTAATTTTAAGAATAAATCATCTTGAAATTCTAATGCTTTGCAAATCCTACTTTGTTTGGTGTATAAATGAATAGATCCCAAACTTTTCATTAATCTGATCTATGTATGGGAAGATGAATAGTTTTTTTTAGTGTTATGAACGTGTTATAAATAAATATTATAAATTTAAGAAAAAAAAATTATGCGATCAAGTTCTTGACTTTTGCAAGTGGCATTAGAAGTGTGTCGTGGTATAATTAACAGTTAAAAGCCTAGCTAAGAGCAGTTCAAAAAAGCAAAAGCCTCAGGAGGAAAAAAAAAGTCTCTTCATAACTTGAACCACAAGTGCATCAAAAAAAAAAAAAAAAAAAACCTGAACAACACGGTGCGAAGGACTTGACTCATGGCACCATGACCAAGACTCAATTGGGTTTTGTCAATTTTTTCTTGTAATCAATTAGATCAAATCACAACCTTATAGGCATAAAAATGAGAGGATGTTGCCTTCTCATGGGTTGCGATTGCATAGAGTCGAAGATTTAGGTCTTTCTCTTAATTTACCGATCACAAACTTTTGTGTCAAGTAAAATTAAGGATTTTGAAGATAAACATATTTTTTCATGTGATTATTTATAAATTTATGTGAAAAACTAGTTAGTCTTATTTTCATGATCTATAATTGAAGTTAAATTAAACAATAATGATAACATGGATTTTTTTTTTAATTTCTTATTTAAGTTTGTTGGATGATGAACTATAAAATAAAAGATAATTTTTCTTCTTTTAAATTTCTTTTTATTTATCTTAAAATTTAAATATAAAATCTTTTAAATAAAATTTTACATTTTTAATTATTAAAATATCTGTAAAAAAAAAACATAATAACATAGATTAAACACAAACTTCCCTAAGACTTTTATTTATGAAATTTTCTTTCTTTGATATATAAAATGGATCCTTGGTCTCGTGGGAATTTGGAAGAGAGGTTTGTTCCTCTGAAAATAGAAGTGTTAAAAAGGCAAAACAAGAAGTACTGATACTTTGAAATAACACCCTTAAGAGTTGGGGCTTAAAAAACAGTGTCAAGTTTTTTATAAATCATCTATATCTGCAATTAAGGTTTTTTCTTTTTCTTTTTAAGTTTTCACTAATCATTTAAATTCATTCAAGAAAGAAAAAATATTGGAAAATTTTATACGTTCTATATTCAATTATTTGTAGTATTTAATTAAAGTGGACAGCGCATCAATTTTCTCACACAAATATATAGCTGATTCCAGGACAAATAATATCCGTCATAATATTAATATATAGGGGAAATTATAATTTAGCAGATTGGTACATAAAAGGATTTGAAATTTTAAAACGTACATATAATAGATTTATCATTTGAGGTGGGTGCATATAAAAATTTGAGATTTCAAGATATACAAATTGAGGCTTAAGATTTGTATTTGATATACATAACCGTTTAAAGTTATATAAAATTGTCTTAAATACCTTTATTATTCTTTTTTTTTTTCATTTTTTTAAGTTAAGAGTTTTTAAGAAATTTCAAGTAATTATTTACATAAAGTACAAATCTTAAGTGTTTATACTCATATTTTGATATCTTTAATCTTTATCTATATTTATCCAAAATTACAAATATGTTATATACACATTTTAAAATCTCAAATCTTTATGTGCGTTTCCCTAAAACTACAAGTAACTTTAAATCACAATTTCCCCTAATATATATACGCCATGCCTAAAAAACTACTGATATTCAATTACCATAAAGTCATGGTAATAATGTGACTGTAATTAATTACCCCGTCTAATTTAAAACTAGAAGTCGGAAAGTGGGGTACAAAATTGACAGGCGGCATAGCATGGGTCAACAATGAATATTACATTCTACAGTATATCTCAATTTGGAGCACTCTATATACACTCTTCTAGAGTACCCCACGCCAACGAAAGATATGGGGTTCTTCACAATGCTCTCTATGCCACTCTACCTCCCTTTCTTCTTCCTGTGTCTTAAAACTGCCTTCTCAGCCTCTTTACATGCTTCTTCCTTCTCAACAACAAATCTCTGCTCTCATGAGGAGGCTGCTGCTTTGTTGCAATTCAAGACTTCCTTTTCCATCAATTACACTGCTCCTAATCATGGTCTATGTGAAGATTATCATACCAAACCTTATTCTAAGACTGAATCATGGAAGGAAGGTATAGATTGTTGTTCCTAGGATGGGCTTAGCTGTGATAATATCACAGGTCACGTCATCGCCCTTGATCTCAGCTGTAGTCTCCTTTCTGGCACCTTTCCTTCCAACAGCACTCTTTTTCTCCTCAAAAACCTGCAAAGCCTCAGTCTTTCCTTCATTGATTTTAGGCTTTCCAAGATTTCACCAAAAATCAGTCAGTTTACTAGACTAAAGCATCTTGATATCTCTTCTTCTCAGTTTTCGGGCCAAGTTCCAGCAGAAATTGCTCACCTCGCCAAGTTGGTTTCTCTCAATCTCTCTACTAATTTTGGTTCATTGAACCTTGAAACAGCTACCTTGAGAAATCTTGTTCACAACTTGAGTGAGGTGAGCGAACTTGTGCTTAGTGGAGTGAACATGACATCTGTTAATCCTCGTTTCTTCATGAATCCTTCTTCTTCTTTGACTACTCTTGATCTTTCTACTTGTGAGTTAAGAGGAAACTTCCCGAACATTATTTTTCGCTTTCCAAATCTCAAGATATTTGGTTTACTTGGAAACAAAAACCTCACTATTGATCTTCCAAGTTCCAATTGGAGCAGTCCTCTCCAAAGTTTGTGGTTAGAAGCCACGGATTGCGGAAGGGGATTGCCAGAGTCTATAGGAGATCTAAAGTAATTGAAATCTCTATTTCTCATCTACAACTTGGAAGGCTCCATTCCAGCTTCCATAGGGAAGTTATCCCAACTTACTTTCCTAAGCTTCTCTTCTAATAATCTTAGCGGAGAAATCACATCATCACTTGCAACCTCACACAACTTGGCTCTCTTAGCCTTTCACACAATCTGTTTCTAGTCTCATTCCAACTTCTATAGGGAACTTATACCAACTTTCTAACCTATATCTCAATTCTAACAATCTTAGCGGACAAATTCCATCGTCACTTGCAAACCTCACGCAACTTAGCTTTCTCTACCTTTCAGACAGCCAGTTTTCTGGTCTCATTCCAGCTTCCATAGGTAACTTATTCCAACTCACTATACTATGCCTCTCTTCTAACAATCTTAGTGGACAAATCCCATCATCGCTTTCAAATCTCACACAACTTGTCTCTCTCTACCTTTCACAGGATTAGTTTTCTGGTCTCATTCCAGCTTCCATAGGGAACTTATACCAACTTTCTTACCTATACCTCAATTCTAATCATCACTTGCAAACCTCACACTATTTAGCTTTCTTGACCTTTCACACAATCAATTTTCTAGTCCCATTCCTTTTCGTGCAAGTAGATTTTCCAAACTATGGTCTCTAGACTTATCTTATAACTTACTTAATGGCACGTTGCCACCTTGGATTTTCACCTTACCTTTGTTAGTGAACTTGCAACTCAGTCATAACCAATTTCAAGGTCAAATAAATCAATTCCAGCAAAACTCACTTGTGGAGTTGGATTTGTCAAATAATAAACTCCAAGGCCCAATTCCTAGCTCAATTGCTAATTTAGTAAATCTTGGTTTTCTCAATTTATCATCAAATCATTTTAGTGATTTAGTAGTACCTGACATGATCTTGGGGCTTCAAAATTTGTATTCCATTGATCTTTCCTACAATAATCTGTCTTTGAGAATCAATGTCAATGCCAACTTCACATTACCCAAACTAATTTTCTTTTCCTTGTCTTTTGGTAACTTGAGTGAATTCCACAATTTCTTAAGACATTCAAATGGTCTGATGAGCCTACTGCTATCGAAAAATAGCATTTATGGCACTATTCCTGAATGGATATGTGAACAAGATTCTCTCCGAATTCTGGACCTTTCTCATAACAATTTAAGCGGGAGGATTCCAAATTGTCTTCCTAAGTTTGTTGTGTTGAATTTGCAGGCCAATAATTTGGAGGGAAATATACCATTTTGGTTTCTTGAGGGCTGTGGATTACAAAATCTACAAATTCTTGACCTTTCTCAAAATAATTTAACCGGGAAGATTCTAAATTGTCTTCCTAAGTCTAGCTCAATGTTGAATTTGTAGGCCAATTACTTTGATGGAAATAAACCATTTGGGTTTCTACAGGGCTGTGGATTACGAAATCTCAACTTACATGAAAATCAAATGGATGGGCAATTACCAAGGTCTTTGGTGAATTGTAGCAAGTTAGAGGTTCTAGACGTTGGCAACAACAACATAGAGGACACATTCCCTCATTGGTTGGAATCTCTAACAAACCTTCAAGTGCTTGTCTT